CAGGACTTGTGATGAACTCGAATACAACACTGCATGTTACCACATGTTAAGATGCATGCTTCCCGGCAAAGCTCAGAACAGACACCCAGCTTCACTGGTTTTTTTTTTATCCTGGAATATAATGTTCCTCTTAATTTTGGAATACATCTGAGACAACACAACTACAACCATATTACAACATGCTGACTTGAAATCTGGGAATGAAACTTGATTTCAGTTTTAAAAAAGCCATGACTGATGCCCCCCTCCATTTTAAGTGGCATCCAAATTGAAGACAACTTAAGAAAACCTTTGTTCCAATCAAAGACTCGTCGCACTGCAAAACCAAATAGTTCCTGAAATCAAATGTTATTTACAATAAAAAATAACCAGGCATCTACGTACTGTCTGTTGAGTTGCAGAAATCTCGAACTTTGAGGAACAAATGAACTCACCCACAGGCACAGTCTCGGAATGGATGAACGGATGAAACCAGACATGGGCGCCATTCACATCTTGGATGGTAATGTTGTACGAGATGGGATCCGTGCAACTGTCAAGTACTGATTTCGCTGTGATTTCATAAGACTTCCGGAAAAAAAGAACACGATTCAATTACATGTATGCCTATATGGCACAGATGCAACGCATTTTGATGACCTGTGAACTCCGACTTTAATGGCAACAATATAAATGCAATATCAATATCACAAAACCATCACATAAACATTTGCACATAAATGCATAATTGTCACAGATGTCATCGGTGAATTCTTTTATTGATTATTAATAACCAAATTAACTTACGACGAAGCCAAAGTCGATGGTTCCCACACATCTTAAGCCCTTACAATCATCCTCCCTGGCACACTGGAAACCAGAGGGTGGTGTGAGTCCACTGACAAGTTCTTGCATTCGTTGACACTGTACACTTTGGCCTAAAATCCCAAATAAAGCAATTACACAGTAAAGCTCTTGGCTCTCCAGTCAGTAAGTGAAAAGTTCAAAGCCTGAACTAGTTTCCAACAGCAATGATCCTGACCAAGTAATGCGGAATACCATGCAGCCACACCATAAACAGATGTCCTCATAATTGTGATACAATTATATGACAGGATATTGCAACTTAATGAAAGTGTCACAAGCTTGTGCACATTCTGACGAAAACTGGGTCCTAATGTGTACGTGTCTACAAATGCACTTGTACATGTACACACTGGCAACACATCTCCTCAGACAATGGATCTATGTACATGTTCCTGTGCCCAAGTCCACACAGACTACAACTGTGTAAAATAAACTGGTCAAGTTTTGGATATGATCATGACAGTCGCTTAATTTACACCTTTGATCTTAACAGACAGCATCAAACGACAAAAATGTCCTTGGTGAGATCATCCTTCCCTTTTTAGACAATACTGCTGCACATTTCATGCTGACCTGGACCTAATGTGACAATAGGTGTGACCTACCAGGCCCCTGGGTGGAGCAAGGGGGTGTTTTGATGACTATCGGAGATAAAATGGGAACATCAAATATCATTGCGTCGTCAGCTAGAAACACCAAAGACAACTGTGCAGAACAAAATAATGAATAAAAATGAATGGAAGTTAAGTTTCTAAGACTTCAGACGCATACACAGCAAGGGGTTATTTATCTACTACTCTGGAACAAATCAGAAGGGGGGGGGATAATTTGAATGCATGCCCCTCGCAACCACCATCAGACTCCTAAAATGTTTGGAACAGATCTACATTCCACTCAGGGTAAGAGCTAGAGTTCCCCCCCCCCGAAAAATGAAAAGCCGGTACATTTTCCCAATATTTGCAGAAAGGACGGACTATACATGTACCCTTTTCATGCAGAGATCAATGTCATGCATTACATTGCAATCTCAAAATAAAATTGTAACCTTAAATAACAAAAAAAAAAATATGTTTGGCATATTTACCCCAATTTCCAAGCCTTCTGAGACTTTGCCAAACTGTACTTGGACAGCCACATCCAGCTCAAGAAATGAGAAGTCATAGTGTAAACCTAAAACAAATACACAATTGGGTTATATAGATTCAACACACTGTGGGTTTTTAGACATATAATATATGTATAACTTTGAATTATACAGCCTTCTTTTATTGATGGATAATATACTGTACATGGCAGACTGACGGTCTTATACACTTAAACTCTCTCCACGTGACAGACGCTGACATACATGTAAACAGTGCACCAGGAGTTGCTGAGAGTCGAACATTTTGTGTCAAGTTTCATCTGGGTGGCAACGTGCAAAGTAACAGTAAACCTATCCTCAGCTCTTAAAGCCTTATCTACATCAGCACAACACTGTTATTTTTGGGGGGGATACGTATGGAAGTACATCGATCCTTACAATGCACTGCCCAAGGAGGGGACTAACGCGACACCTCCCCTGACCAACCTGGGATGGTGTAGGTATCCCCGCGGGTGACGGTTTCCTGGATGTAGGGCAAGCTGGTGTCTGGGTCCTGAACCAGAAGGAACATCTGAGGCGGATCATCGCAAGGGTGCAGCTTGACCCTCAGCTCAGTTCTCTGACCCTGCAGCGGGGGACGATATGGAGATGCGAGGAGTATAAAGGCTCTGATGATGAGCTGGGCGTACTTGGAAAGAATTCCATATGAGTGCCACTAATTTTCTCCACAGTAACCTATGTCACAGTCATCTGAAAGCAATGAAATGTCCTACTTGAAAGTCCAATTTAGCAGTGAAACATTAAAGTATTTCCTAAGAAAACACTTAGAACTGTTCAGATCAGTCTCATAGGGTTTTCAAACAAGGTGTCAAGCTGTGTCCTTTATATGGAATTTTTCCCAGCAACTGATCAGAGAGGCAGACAGGTCGAGTTGTAGAATTCAAACAAGCAACCCTTGTAACATGGCCAAAAAGTCTGCACAGGATACAAAAATAAACGTTCAAACTTTTCTTACCCCACACACGTACACTTTCAAAAAAGTTTCAAACTATTTCCATGGAATTTGAATGTGCAGATATTTGCAAAAGCAAAACAAAAAAAAGGCCTCACTAGACATTCATGTCAAAGTCCCTTTAATCCACAGCATTTACCAAATTCACCAAGAGTGACAGCAATGGACCAAAAGGTCATCCATCACTTCAAATGCCCGATGGACCAGGTTTCACATTGGGAGCAGAATACATGTATAAATATAAGTTCTTCGACTGTCACTGAAGAAAAAAAAAGGGCCAACGTGTAAAAGTTTGTTGAACTTGTCCACAGGCCCATAATGAATAAGTGGGGAAGGATCAACAAATTTTGCAGCCAACGGTACCAGTTCAGCATTTCTACATGCACAAATTTTGTTTGGTTCAATTATCATTTTTAAAATTTACTTTCATACAAATTTAAACACAATTTGTGAGATATAAAACCTCAATTCAAACAAGCATGAAGCTACAATTTCCAGCAAACCATCCCCCAGTTCCTTTTGCTTCAAGTGAAAGTCAATAGTATGACTTTTGCATGGGGGGGGGATTTTTCTTTTAATACTGGGCAATTTGGCACCAACCAACAACCTGTCCATGTTTTTATTACAACTGAACCAGGGCTACCCCCAATATCCAAAGATTCAATTCAATCAAATGGTAGCTAGGCTCATGAATATCCAATAATTTGGATTGACTCAGGCATGAAATGAGCAGCCACAACTATACAGGTGCTTGATTAGTCCAGCCAATTAATTATCCCTTATATTTATGGCTTCCTCGCAGAAGGTATAGCAAGAGTATACATGTACTTCTTAACAAGTTGACTGCCGCGCATAATTTCAAAGCGGCGTTCCCATTTGCTGGCATTGTACGCATCATGCGTGCATATTTAACAGGTACCATTCAGGTGTCTCTTTGAACGTGAGCATTTTATTGATGGTTAGGCTCTCCACACTGCCAGCAGCGCATTTGCTGTGTTCTTCGGTAATGCCATGTAATAGCCTTCATTTCCTATGGGTACACTCAGATTGGCAGATCCCATCCAGTACACCTGTGACTATACGTGTATACCAGTTCTTAGCAGTCGGCAGTCAACATGTTGAGCCTGTAACTTCTTCAATATAATGCAACCATATCCCCATCACAAAGTACAGATATGACTCAGGCCCCCGGCTGGCCTTGTTCATGGCTATATTTCACACTAAATTCTGTATGCCAATGCATGAATACACAGGGCGGCTGGGCTTACTGGGCTGTTGCATGCAATTTACAAAGGTGCTCTTTTCTGTAACACAATGGACAGCGACTCCCTTCACTTGAAATGCCATCCACAACCCATACAAAGAATGGCTGATCCAATAATCAGGTAACAGCCAGGTCAGTCAGCACTGGAAGTGGTGTAGTTGAGTGTGAGTTAACTTCAGGTATTAGTTTATTTTATTTATTTAATCTTTAACGAGGGTGGTCCATTTCAGTTAAACTTAACCTGTTTTCCAAAGGATCCCTCACATCAAAACTACAAGGTAAATTTATACATAATTACAAACGTACAAATAAATAAGAACAAAAGGAAACATACACAATTAGTACATTAGACAGAAAAACAAAAGCCAAATACGTATTCAGCTTTTGGAATGTACAGATAAAAACTACTAAATATTGAGTGTTTCGTTCCGAGTGTGAGTTCGAGTATGACCATGGAGGAATATGAAACCTGAAACAAAGAAGATTGTAACACCCAGAACAATTCTTTCTGCAAACCTTGTCTGTGATCAAAGGTCAGACCATAAGAAACAAGCCGACTACACTGAGTGCATTTCCTAACTCAGACGTGAATTGATGTAACTTAATAAAGACTGAGGAAAAATTAGAGGTCCTTTCAAATCCATTTCTGTATCAGAGTACCACTAATAAGATCACGCTCTCAAAACTCTTTGCAAGCCAAAATTATCAAAGAGCCCCGCTCTTTTTTTTTTTTTTTTTACTGGGAAGCACTCTAAAACAAAACGTGGATCTCTCATTCAGACCGATTTAATTCGGACGAAGTATCAAATTTTGCAAAAATGACATTTCACTGAACTACGTACAAGTATTGTTGAGTCATACATTGTCCAAGGTCGCCTCAATACACTGTGATGTTATTGGGGCTTGTGCGTTGTTTGTTGCTGTACGCCCAGAGAAAGGAAGAAAGAAAGAGAAAGATCCGGGACACTGGTAAATTTGATGATCTTCAGTTATGTTCAGTTATTAGCTTCATTGTCTAAATACCTGGAAGGGAAGGACACAGCTGAAACCGTCGCAGGCTGCATTACGGGTACAGTTGATGCTAGCGTTGACACTCCCCAGCTGTGACTGGGCCTGGTTGATTTGTCGTACAGCCTCATCTAACGTGTCGCATTCCGGTTGGTACGTGGCTTCTACAGGCCAAAACAAAAGCCAACCAACAAACAATGATGTAGGAAAGATGCATATGCCTTCAAAATCAGTCAAAAAAGTACTCCTTGGTCCACGAATTCGTCTTATACTGTATGTCCAGACGTTTTGCCTTCACAGGTCTTAAGCAATCAAATGAACTCTCTGAATGCAAAAAGCTTCGCTGAGCTCAGTAAGTTGTCAGCGATGTACTAGCACATGTAAAATTGCCCAAGACTGATTCAGGACTTTTTGCTGTATGCTGTTCTACCGGTGGTAGGGCTTTCGAGCATTGACTTTCTAACAATAATATCTGTCCCAATTTTGGGACCATTCTGATGACAATTGGATTTGGAAGCCAGCCCGACAATAGCACAGACTACTGGTACTTGCGTGTGCCATGTGCCCTCATTTTGTTTACATTGGCAACTTGTACTTGCAGTTTCAGTTTGAGTCATGGATGAAAGTTAGCGCCACATGGTATATATTTTCAGATGTGATGAACCGCAGAGATTTGGAGAAGGTTGAGAAATTTGCTACAGAAATTTACTGCAGGACTGTTCGTGTCCTGGAACTTGACGCCATCCAAACTACAGTTTGGACAGACTTTAAGTTAGCACACCAGTTGGTTATCCTGGAGATGTAGTTTAACTGTTTTAGGAACTTTTTTAAAATTTGATAAATCTGTAAGTTTGAAGGTTCTGAAGCTGAAAAGTACCGACAAGGTAGCATGAAATTTTTAGATGGTGAAAGAAAGAGCATCTTTGACTATAAAGATGCGGTGCATCATGTGAAACCTCGTTGGTAATGATGTAGGCAGTAGCTTTCTAATTTACAAGGGCTAGTCGTAGTAAAGAAGCAAATTGTTTATTTCAAAGGGCATTGAGGCAAAGGTCAGGTACATGAAGACTTAATTGCCTCCAATACCATGAAGTTCCTGCCCTGGGTAGGCATACGCTTTATGAGATTATATTCAACTTTTTGTGTACAATGCTATTTATAGTGTAAGTAACTAAATTTATAATAAAATGAACCAGTTGAGTTTTCTATGTTGCAGTTCCATGACAGGCAAGCAAAAGTTATTTCAATGATAAAAATGTACATGTATCAGGTAAATTCCAGAAATTAGGGGTCCAAAAGTGTGTTATTTGACATGGAAATATCACCGGAACTGATTTCAAACTATTACTATTTGTTTGGCAGGTAATTTTATTCATCGCTCTTGGAAATTAGAAAATGTGTTCTAAACTTATAAAATCATACGTCAGATGTGACAGGGACACCAAAAAAATGGACCCCTCATTTCTGGAATTATCTGTACAACAAAATGGATTGCCCCACAAAAAACCAAAACGAGATACAGGAATTGATGTGGAACATGATTTGCTTGAATTGAGATAACTTGCTTTCATCGGAGAGAAAAATGTTGCCAGCCAACCGTGAAGATCTGCAAACACAGCAGTAGGCAAAAATGCCTGTCTTTTTTTATATGGTCAAGTCAAGGTCCCCACATCTTTCTGTTCGTTTGCAGGCTAACAATCTGTGTGAATGCTTGGTCAAGCAATGGTTGATTTAGGCCTATACGGTCAAATGATTTATGAGTCACTTAATTGTCTGTATAGGCCTGCTGTCCGACATGCATGTGTTGGTAATGGGGAACAGCAGTGTATTTTAGAAAAATATAGAAAGATGGCATGAAGAAAGCTGTGTAAAACTGATCATGTTTGAAATGCTCTATATCCCTGTAAGCATGCATGCTTTATTTCAGATTGGATAAACTGACTGCATCATGTGAATTAGCAGCGTGTCACTTGGTAGGTTTGCATGGTGAGGTGCCAATCGACTAGTTCGGTTTGCGGTTACACCAAGTATAAACTCTTAGATAGATTATACATGTACATGATGTTTATGCAAACTTTGCTTAATTAGCAGTAAATGTTAAAGTGAGTATCAGTAAAACATCATGAACGGTGCATACAGTATCGATTCGTGTATACAAATCAAGCTGTATTCGAGCCCATCGGATACGGTGCATACAGTATCGATTCGTGTATACAAATCAAGTTGTATTCGAGCCCATCACAAGTCCAGTCACAAGTCCCTTCAAAAGGCCAGTCATAAGTAACAGAGTGAACAATGACAAAGGAATGCTTTGTCACAACTCATTTGAATAGCTTGTGAATTGGATTAATAAGACTGAATGACTTGTGATGGACTTACAGGGACTTGCAGGGACTTGTGATGGACTCAAAAGCAAAACTGAGTACAAATTATCTCTGAGAAAGTGATTAAGAATAACCACATGCAGCTAACTGGAATTCAATGATTCCATACTTGCTTAGAAGTAAATGTAAGATACAACTTCATTTGAAGAACATTCTGTACACATGAAGACATATATGATGCCAGAGTAAAACCATGGTAAAACAGTTCTATTCCGATGTATGTGAAAGACACAAATACATCAGTCCTTGTTTGCATCTTATAAATATTTATTTATGCAAATGTCTGTTTTCATAAAACAGGAAAAAACATGTTTTATTCCTGTTTTCTAGAAAACAGTCTGGAAACCGGGGATCCGTTTTCAAGAAAATATGCAGAGGAACCTGTTTTAAGACACTGTTTTTAGCCCTTTTTAAAGCCTGCTTCATTATTCCTGTTTTTAGCGGTTCCAAATACAATCGTTTAAAGATGTTTTAGAAACAAGTTTGCATATCGCAACGACGAGGATGTGCTCGATGATCTAACCACAGGCCAACAAACAAGTTGAATCAGATCAAGAAAATTCTCAGGATAGGCTTACCTGCGGTTTGAAGAATTGAGAGAAGAACCCAAGCACACAGCAGGACACTGCTTGTTAAAATCACATGAAGCTTCATCCTCGATTTTGTGGCTGGAGGTCCACTAACTGCGCAAACAAACTAAGTTGTTCAAACTTTTGATGAAGCGTTCAGCGATCGATCAATCGAGTCTACGTCTATTTATTGACGCCGTCGCGTCGATGTGTGGTCAACAGAGGGCGCCGATGGCCTGTCCGCGGCTAGCTAGCTCTGGTCTGTGATGTTGCCGCAGGGATATTAATTAATAAGAAACCTGTAGGAGATTTCTCCTCCAGGTCTATGATCTATATTAATCTACATGTACATGTATATACGGCTCTGGTCTGTGGGCTTGATAGACTGCCTAAGTATTAGTTGCTTCATGTTCTTGGATCAGGAAGATTATGGGCTATTTTCTAGAAAAAAAGTCAAAATTGTACTAGCATTTGCAGTGCTTCTATTCTGATTGAGTTTGCGATTCATTCAATAAATAACACAAACAACAAGTCAACAACATAAACATCTTACATTGCAAAAACTTCCTGTTTCTGACACTGAAAACTGAGTGTTCAATAAAAGAGAAAAAAGCTACATGAAGCCAGTTTTTGTTGAACTTAGTGGGTTGTTGATTTGTTTATAACGGTGCAAAATGGACTCGGCCCCCTCCCCAACGCTAATCAAGATTGGTCCTTATTTTGTTTTCCAAATTTTAATGATATCATATGAGCCATTTCTTGTTTAAGCACTTCCGTTGTATCCTCTTTGAGATTCCTATAGTGTGTTTCGAAAATTCTTTGCTTTTTATTTAGAATATTGCAACGTGAAATACTACTTACTTAAGTTACAAAATTCAAACTTTCCGGGCGCTGAGGGAATCTTGCTATCTTTCCAGAAGTTGCCAGTATAAATTTTAACGGTGAATGATTGAAGGGTTTGGGTGGAGTGCGGTTTCATTGCCACTGTGGCCTAACATCCACAAAAAAGTTTTATTTGTAACAACATTCGATTTCCTAAAATGTAGTTTCCCAATGCCAACGATGTCATGCCTTCATGAAGGCCCGGAGTATCCAATTCTTTGCCGCCTAGTGCTCCACTCCCATCGGCGCCAATCCAGCCTGAGTGCGCGCCGCGATGCTCAGCGTGCTCCTAAGTTCGAGGGAAAAAATAATTGATATGAGGTGAAACGAGGGCGATGGGAGAACATGGTACAAATGTACGTGTATTTCATTTCTCTTCTTTCAAAAGTGTACAAAATGCCCCAAAATTTACCTTAAGAGCCTCCCAAACAACGTGACAGGATAGGAAAATAAAACAAAGGCTCCGGCCCTAAGTTACGGAAGTACGGAAGCTTATTACCGCCACGATAATAAAAAGTTCTCGCCCCTAGCGCGTACGTACACGATAACTATCTTGTACGTGCATGATAAGTATCGTGTACGAACACGATTACTCAGAAGTGCACGCCGCATCCATGTGTGTCCAAAGGGAAGGGGCGTAATCATACATGTCGCCTCTACGTCTTAATTCGTTTGGTGGACTGGAGTTCGGCCGCCACCATGAATATTGTTTTTTCTGCACTGTTTTCGAAGGTTAAGTGAATTGTCTCTATGGCTGAGAAAAAAGGGGAAGCCAGTCTGTGCAAGCAAGGTTTAAGATATAATCGGTCGATTTTATCCTTTTGTTAACAGGGGTTTGTTTGGGGGGGGTTATTCCCAAAATATTGCTGCCTTGTATTTTTTTTTTAAAGCCAGGAAAGGATGAAATTGTTATCAGCACTAACAGGGCCACTTCCCACTCTTTTCTTACTGTTTAATTTTACACAGCTTCATGAACGAGCGGTCTGTTTGCTGGTGTATTTGAGTACATTTTTTGCGACCAGTATGGAGAGATTTTCAGGTTGATGAGATACCGACGTTTGTGCAGATCAGAGCTTGCTAGAAAATTTGTGTGAAATTTGCTTAATTTTCAGGGTGCAATACAATAACTAGGAAGTCATCCGTGGTCTCATGCAAGGCCACGTGGTTGAGTAACGCTTGTCAACTCATAACTCGCCCGCGGGCCCATTAGTTTCCCAGAGCTAGAGTAGGAGTTTTGAAACTCCGTATCTGGAGCTTGGCGACGCAAGGGCTCGTTTGTGTATATTTGTGGGTTTCTAATTCACTTAGTGATTTCAAGTATACCGGCGATAATATGCCGTCCCGTTTTTTTTTCTATTTTGTGCTGAGGGGAACAGAGCATGCCCTTTTTCCATACTTTATCAGTCACCTTTTTGGTTCTTTTATTATTTATTGCAACTGATGGCAAAGATTCCTTGTCTGTATGGTTTTTCTTCAAGCCATGCACGATTGAAGTAGGCGGATTTCAGTTTTATTTTGGGGGGGAGTTGAATTCCATGCCTAACCGACACTTCTTAACTTTGCTCCTCAAGGAGTTCCATTAGGATTTGAATGTTCTCCACGTCCAGTTCTTTTTCTTTTTGGTTGGATTGTGGAGATCGATATCAGTTGAACCAGTGGCGTAACTAGGATTCTTAGTGGGGGGGGCCAAAGGGCACCAACTTTCAGTGTTTTTTATGGGGGTGTTTGTTAGCTTTGTTCAATATCCATTCATCCGTTTTTTTCAGTGGGGGGGGCCTGGGAATTTGTGGGGGGCACGTCCCCCCCCATCATGTACACGTACACGATAGAGGGAGGTTTTTTATTATCGTGGCGGTAATACGCCTCCGTATTCAATAACATTTCCCCGAAAACTTGGTCCTTGAAAGCAGCTTCCGTCCGTCGCCGCGAGCCAGCCGCGAGTCAGTTGCCTTTTAAGAGGTGACAGCGCCCTCTTTTGACTTCAATGTGGCATTGTTATTGTACAGCTAACAGCACCACACCGGCGCAGCTCAGGCTCGGGCCACAATTTTGAGGAAATGTAGTAGCGATTTGGTTCATATCCCACTTTCCTCGAAGTTGCATCTTATTGTAGTGATCTCAAGAGACGTCTGCTACTGCTAGTTCCAAAGTCAACTGCATTGACCCTCGATACTCAGAGATTTAGAACTGTACCTAAAACCACAGAGAATGAAGTGTCCAGTGAGTGCGATCGCGATTTTGTTCATTTGCGCCTGGATTCTTCTGCAGACGGCAGGTAGGAATTTCCTATTTTTCTCAATTCTTTGAGAGTGCCTCTCAGTGAATTTTAAATTGATGATGAAATAAAGCACGATGTTAGGAATGAGAAGAATTTCACGCTGTTGCATATCACATGCATTAGTAGGCTCCGTGCTACCAGGTGGCACGAGTACGAGCGAGGAGGACTATGCCGCTACGGCGCGTGTAGGGGCTTACTTTCCGGGCTGGCCTATATTATTGCGTAGCTTAGTATTATGCCAAGAGCCTTGGACAGTTTTGTTATGTAAATTTCAGTGGCAATGAAATTACAAGGTACCAAGTATGTTCTCATATACACGACAGGGAATGATGTCGATACGAGCATAACTGTGTTCTAACAGTTGTATTATAAACAAAATCTTCCATGTTAGTACATATGTAGGCCTATGTACATTGTAAAGTTAAATCTTAATTCACAATTTAGTTTGCTACAGAGTGAGGGTTATTTTATTTAAACAACATTTATGAACTTTGACAAAAAAGCTATTAATTTGTGTAAGTTTTTTTCAAATAAATCATGAAGGCAGTGTTTATTTATCCAGCGCCAGCAAATTGACATTAAAAGATATTTTCCAGGGTGCATGCACAGTAGCTGTTTTTAGACTTAGAAAATTCTTACCATGACAAATCTTAGTATTTGTATTCACAAGGTAAGGAATATCAAATATTGAATTTGTTTCTCTCTCTTTCTCTCCCTATGTTTGGTTTCAGCATCTGGGAGAGTCACTTGATAGTTATTTTAGTTCGCTTTTTGGCAATTCCTCAGGGATGCTGTTGCCATGTTTTAATTACTGTTTCTTGATGTGTTTATATTTTTTGTCTTACCTGAAAAATAATAAATGAAATGAAATAAGACCAGTTTATAATTTCAGACTTTTTTCCCTTTTAGAAAAAGTCCTCCAGAGCCACAAATCTGAAACACAAATCCAAAATCCTGTTAATATGTGTTGGGGTCAATATCAAATTAAAATAAGGAGAATATTGTTAGTTTTGTGGGATGAAAAAATGTCGACCAGTGGGAATCAAATTAATCTTGTATGATCTCATGACGTACGCACTAACCACTATACCACAGATCTGTCTCGACCCGAGCTGGAATTTAACAAGCTCTATAGTCTCACTTAACGTCTTAAGTATTTGCGTCAAAGAGGTTGATGCGTAGTAAAGTTGGCTAAATAGAACATGTATTTAGATGAATTACGTATTTTTTTAAGTAATAAATAAATTTGAGGTGGCCCCTGAAAAGGAAATGTGTTTGAATGCTAAGCATATTTATTTGGTTAATTTGCTTTAACAATGTAGGCGTTCCCCACAACCCTGCCTCAGTCAACTTCATTGCTTGGTGAGCGTACATGTACATGTATGTACCTGCTTGTACTGCAGGCTACAACGGTACAGGTCTGTACAGCAGTACTGTCAGTACATATGCTGTTGTCAAGTTTTGTGCACATTTCAATGCATCCGGGTTCAAGCACTTGTCTGTTTATATCCAGGGTTAACTCCCCTGACAAGTATAGAGAAAGAAAAATACCTAGAATAACATTATTCTAACAACATTTATCCTCTGGAGGTTTATAATCGCCTTCTAATGTCATAAATTACCATCTCCACTGGGACCAAATGTTTGTAATGTAATGTGATGTGCTAATAAGCAAACCAACTGTACATGTACAGTAGGTTTATCATTGAAAATGTCAACGTGTGCCTGTTCATTATAATGCAGACTTTTGGTATAGGCTGATGATCACCAAGAGGGAAAAATCATGGGCACACCAGGCAGAAGAGTAGACAAGTAGAAGAGATTAACTGGTGCCCTGCGTACCCATAATAACAACCAACATAATCCTGGTAATTCATGCCACTCTATAGATTTATCTTCGCATCAGAGGATGAGGCTATCAGTCTACTTTTATTGTTGCCATGGTAGCTTCACCATCCCAAGGGTCAGCTGTGTTACTGCACGCTACCAGAGTGTACAAATTTGAGCAATCAAAATTTTGGGTCGTGTCTTTTCCACGCAGTGTGTGGTTTTTGAGTACTGCATAATCCTTTAGATGTGAAGAAAGACAATTGAAGAATTCTGGATGATTTTCAACTTTTTTTAGAGGGGGGGGTTTGGGAAGGGGACTTCAGTGTGGCACTGGAACAAAGGCAGAAATAAAAATGAAAAAAAAAAATTTCAGTTACAGCCAAGCTGGGCTGAATATTCCAGTATTTCCTTTGCAGTCAGAAATTCCAAACTAAAATGCAGCCATCAACAACAAAATGGAAAACTACGAGCCTCATGCTCTGCAGCGATGAGATCTAGATCCTGTGGACTCTTGATAAGAGCCGAAAATTGTAATTTGTATCCCACAAGAAATTTGTAGAATGCAGGAAAGCGCAGGAGTAGAGACAAGTCAACTTCAGTGAATGGGCGTGCCACATCCTGGGGCAGAATATCATACTGATACAGTACCTTGACAAGTGTCGCGCTCTGGATGTTTTCTGTATAAAAATTTCAAAGATTTGTTTCTGAGCTCCCCTGACAGATCTCTTCATTAGATAATTTGCTCTGATGATTACACAGGGACCTACGTGTACACGTATAACAATTATGCTCAAGAGTTTTTGAGAAAGGGGTTGAATAGCAGAGGCAAAGTACGTGCGCCAGGTTTAAGTGCAGTGACTGATTATTCCAGGAAAACTGTAAAAACTGCAGAAATAAAGTTAACTATCTTGTCTCGCTAGTCAGGAGGGAAGTACATGGAGATGTTGGTGTACTGTTTTGACTTAAAATGCACGTACAAGGTTGCCTCGTCATTTCCTGGAAGCCCCACTGTAGGGCTTTTGCCAGACAAACTGGAATCCGAATGATTCATTAGAACAGGTGTCATGTACATGTACATATTCACAAGGCAGTCATGGAAGACTGCTTCTCTGACTTTTTTGTGTGTGTCCATATGTGCATGGGCGGTTGCCAGGATTTTATCCCGGGGGAAGGATGACTGTGAAGCATTTATCACCAGCAAACTCACAAACTGTTATGGTAGAAGGGGTCATTTCCAAGACTTTTTTCAAGCAAAGTAGTGATTTTCGACCCCCTTTGCCTCCAGTTTTGCCTTATTCCTGGCTTTTTTGGGGGGTCCCCTTTTTAGAAGGGGGGGTTGAGGGCGACAAGTGCCCCTCTGGTATTCCCCCTCCTTTGCAAAGTCCATGCAAACAGAGAACAAAGAGGGGAAGCATGACCTACATGTAATCAACCTGCCTGAGTCCTGGCACTGTGCCAAATCATGTTGAGAGCTATGTGCGGCACGCACCTACAGGAAGACTTCCCAGATTTTAACCTCGTTAACAATTTGCTCTTCAGTCCATCGCTGATTGATGAAGTACAGCTAGTGCTCTTGCATCACTGATAGCCTACACGCAGCTACTCGTGTACATGTACATGTGCATAATGTACATGAACATGGAACCCCCAGTTCCACATGATCTACATGCAAATGAAATGTGCAGTAATACTGCACCACGGGAGAAGTGAAGTCATTGTGACCAAGCATGATAATATCACGTGTCGTAGTATTTCTGTGCTCCAGTTGATTCAGGCCCAGTTGCTGCAGCCCTTTGCATGTTTGACTAAATAAAAGTGTGCACAATGTCGTTTGTTCTGCTGACTGCGGACCAAATCAAAGATATTTATTTGGTAGCGCACAGGACAGCACAACACTAAATCCTCTTGCCACCAGCAGAATATGTCTGGGTTTTATTGCATGTCTGGGTTGTGAACGGTACCTTTCAACTCAACACTAGTGTCAAGTGTATCAGAATCACTGTCTTCATATAAAACTAGACGCGGACTTACATGTAAGCATTCTGTTAGTGTGACGAAGATTTTTGGATGTCTCATACCAGATTGCAGCAAAATAACTTGAACGTGCCCTGTAGTAAATGAACGGGAGTTAATTATACAGATGAAGGCATTTGTAAGCCTGTCTTTTACCCGATGGAGTTTTTTAAAGTGAAAATTTTGGAATAACGTAGGTTTTACCTCATTTCAAAAATGCACATGGGCAGTTTGTAAAATTGACAGCTACGAACAACCCCCCTCTCCTGAGAAAACCAACACAAACAAAAAAAGCAGCAGAAAGGTTCAATTCAGTTGAACATGAAGGTAAATAACCCCGAGCAGACAAAGATAAATACATGACGAAAAGGGCCAGAAGCAAATTAGGCAATGATGTACATGTACCTGACCTGTATGTGTGTGCTGTAAGGTCGCCATGGCGATGTTGTACCCGGGGCGTGTGAGTGCACAGTTTTTCATTTGAATTTTTTAGGCGGCGATGTTGGCCAAATAAAGAAGGCTGGCATGGCTGCCAGATGTACATGCACATACTGATATTTTATGGTTTGCTGGCTGCTCTGATTACAGCTCACTTTCATGAGCATGAATGTCCCTGTTTTTTTTGCTCGCAGTTTATTGTTTTTACACCAGGACAAGGATTTCATGTCTGTTTTGAATTTACATGACTAATATGAATCGGAATCTGGATGTTCAGTTTTCTATGGAGCCAGCGCTAGGGCCCATGGACCACTGAGCACAGTAGGAATGCACACGCGCAAACGAAGTGTGGCGTCATCAGCTTAGAGGTCCATTGAAACGTTACTCCCCGTTCCTAGCCAGCATTTGTTCTGTAAATGTTTGTAAAATCTGGGCTAATCTCGCTCAGTTTATTGTTTGTTGATGTGTGCACATGCATGTGGACTTTGTTGAAAGCATTTGTTGCTGGTCATCATTAATTTGTTGGACAGTAAACAGAAATGCTTTATCATAGTCAAATTTCTGAAAATGTGTACATTGTAGGTGAACATGTACAATGCGCATGATGTGTAAATTTCCTTATTTTGAAATGGTTACAGAAAAGAAACATGAAATTTCCTGTTTCCTAAATGCTTTCAGAAGGTCAACTCGAATGATTGACACCGAGGAAGTTTTTGTGTGGTACGTTCCACACAGCATTATTACACGAAAGTGTTCACCTCCACTAAGAATCCCTCAAATATGAAAAAAGGACTATTAAGCAAACCTTTAAGACAGGAAATTTGCTATTAAGTGTTCTGATTATATGTTCTGTGCACTAGTTTGAGTGTTTGTCTTGTTTTGTCTGTCGAGTACATAGGCCTACATGTACATGTACAACGTATATATTCTCCGAGCCACATGGACTTGTTTGAAATCTGTTCACATTTGTGGAGCCGAAATCTTTTTTGAACGTTGTCGTTAAGAACTATTCCAATTTCGTCCTAAATCAATTTATTACATGTATACCGACTTTAGGCTGCTATCATATGAGCTACTTGTAAATGTACGTCAGTGGATGATGCACTGCTTAGGCAACTTTCTTTGCTTATTAAAGATCCAGGCACAGGCAAATGTGGGCATTCCTTCGTTTTCTTGCAGTTAAGAAAACTTGGTGAAAATGCTCATATTTCTTGCACTTTGGACACTGTTTAAGCTGGATTTTTTTGGTTGGTGGTTTGCTTGGCTGTCCCTCTTCCCTCTACAAATAACCCTAATCCAAAAACTGCCTGTAAATCTGTTTTCCAGAAAGGGGGTAAGCTTGCGTGGACCAGGCTTATTCACATGAGGTTCCACACTCTATGATGTGGGCCTCTTTTGTCTACACAAGATGTACGGTACATTACATCACATGCCTTTTGGGCTAGCTACCTACTGCACACATATTTTGGCATGACAGCATGTTTACGTGGTCAACCGGTATTCCTACAAGGGAAAACTTGGAGCATTGTGAACTCTCAGCAAAATTTGCGCACCAACGAGCCCTCGATTTTGACCATGCACTGTCCAAGGCGTTGACTGTGAACGTGTTCACATGGTTTTTCCAGCCTCAGAAGCCACATACCAGCCAGAATGCGACACGTTAGATGAGGCTGTGCAGCAGATCAACCAAGCCCAGTCGCAGCTGGGGGATCTCCAAGGTAGAATCAACTGTACCCGAAGTGCGGACTGTGACGGTTTCACTTGCTTCCTCTTGTTGCAGGTGAGACAAATAGGACCCATTTGATGACAGGCGAGGGAAGGCAATGGAGTTTAATTGAACAGTTATTAGTACATGTAGGTCTTCTTTTGTACAAGCCTGCTGTTTACTGGGTTTTTTTTGTAATGAATTGGTGGCCAATGGGTATTTAAATGCTATTTTCACTTTTTCAGATTAACCCTAACAGTCCTCAATCCTTCACCTGTTGGAGGACTGAGGACTGTTAGGGTTAACCCTCCTATGCTGAGATGCATTCTTGACACAGTTGTCATATCAGTCAAAATCAGTCAAATTTCCCATATGTGTCTGTGCACTGGGGAAATCAAGTGGAAGGCATTTTTTACTGTTTTTGACGGTTAAAACAGAAGGAGGGTTAATAAAAGCCAAAAAAATAAAATTGAGACCGCCAGCAAAAGTCACGCGGACGTGGATGATAACCAAAGTATTTTTTTTGTTCGGCCTTTGAGCAACCAAGCCAGTGTTTGATTCCTCTTGGCCTGATTTTTGACAGGCACTGATTCCCTGCGATTGAACCATTTTGTTTCTGCATAAATTACATATAGTGTGTATACAACGATGGCTTGAAGGTGGGTGTAGTTGATATGAGCTCACCAAGTTTAGAAGTTGACAAACCAGTTAGATAATGGAATTTCTATACATGCATGTAGTTAGTTGACTGCCAAGGCCAAAGGGATAATATCCAGTACTGGAAGTAATATTAGCATCAGCATTATCAGTACGGGCGATTCACAATAGTACGCCACCAAGAGTTTGCAACACGTTGGCCAATCATAACGTGTGAAAGTTGTCGACCCTTTCCAAACGCACATTGGGTCGACAAATTTCACGCATTGTGATTGGCCAACACGTTGCAAACTCTTGGTTGCGCACTATTGTGAATCGCTCGTATTGAAATGAAAAAAAGAAAAAGAAAACAACCAAAGCACCCAGTTACACAAGTGCATACCACAATTTCTTGTCAAAAGAAAAAAAGTATTACCTACATGAAAGCCCCTTAATTGTGAGCCACTTGAAAAGTGGATTACTGTTAAAAGTTGAAGTGAACTGCCTTTGATATAATGTACATGTAGACTTCCTGTTGAAAGCAGAAACTTAGTTTCAGTTGTTTCAATTGGATCTTCACTTTCATTTGTGACAGAAAGGGCCAGAACAATCCAAGTTTTTAGGATAGGGAAGGGGGAGATTTTTGAATGGGGATGCTGGAGTAGATACCAAAAAAATCCCTTACTTTTATTTTAATACACATATTTGCGTAACTTGGTATCTGCTTAAAAGCCCCTCCTGGCAAAAATGTGTTCAAGTCACAGCGTTAGACATTTTTTTTGGCAGCTGAGATTTGGAAGTTGCATGTTCTGATTTGGGTTTTTGAAAAGCCATACATGTTGACTGGAGCGACGAAATGGAGGGCTAAATGTTGAAAAGAAATGCCCTCAGACTCATGTTACCCTTGAGTGTGGTGAAAATCTTTGGTGTTGAGCCGAGTACAAACTCTCAAAGTGTATCACTTGCCTGTGACCCTGGAGAGTTCAACAAACTTCCCAGCCGGGAAAGTGAAAGAATTTGTGCACATTCTGTTTGGGAAGCCTGGTTTGTGGGACAGGGGAAAGGGGGGGGGTGGGGAAGGTGACCTTTGGCACGTGTACGTGTACGTTCTCTGCCACTTCTGCCGAATTGGCCAAAGATTTATTGTTGTCGTGGTTGAGAAAATCGCTGTTGATTAACATGTACTAGTATGTGCTATATGCTTTAAAGAGGCTCTGAAAATGCTTTGTGGTCATATCCAAGGGTGTCTGCCTCTGTGTTTGAAAAAGACTCTGAGTGAGTGCTCTTTTTTGTTCGAGCAAAGTTTTCGAAGAGTTCATCCTCTGTGCTGTGCACGTTTTCGGCACAAAACTAGAGGTGCCATTTTTTTTTCACAACCGTTGTCTGCCTCGCTGATTTGTTCTTAGCAGTTTCTTAGCGCCCAGTTTGTGACATAGCTTCTTATTCCTTCCAGTTTGCTTTGTTTTTTCTCTCTCCAACCGCCCTGTATTCATTTCTACTACCAGTTTGGCTGACACCCGTCCATACTTGCTTTATTGTTTATTTGTGTCTGTTGGTCCAGCTACCAGTCTGTCTGCAACTGGTGGTCCGTCAGCCTGTTTGTGTGTCTGGACTATGTATCGGCCTGTATTGTCTTTCAACTCATCGCTATAAGCGCTTTCTCCTGAAATGGAATATTTCCTTATTTGTACTTAATTAGCACAGCACACTTAACAATTGAACAATACCAGTCCTTCTTTTTTTCAAGTTTCACCAAAAGCCCTCCCAACGAGCTTCTACTTTCAAGGAAGCGGCCTCCATACCAATGCTTGATCTTTGCTCTGATAGTTTTTTCTTTGTCACTGTGCTGTAGATTCATTTTGTTTGTTTGTTTGTTTGTTGGGGTGTTTGTTTGTTTGTTTGTTTGTTGTTGTGAAATAATGAATCTCGATGAGATTCCTGAAGCCAGCATTTTTCTGTTGGCTGTTTGCGATGCAGGGTCAGAGAAATGAGCTGAGGGTCAAGCTGCACCCTTGCGATGATCCGCCCCAGATGTTCCTTCTGGTTCAGGACCCGGACACCAACTTGCCCTACATCCAGGAAACCGTCACCCACGGGGATACCTACACCATCCCAGGTTGGTCAGGAAGTGTGCACATGTACATGTACATCTACTGGTCCATGTATATTGGATTGATATGTATGTACGGTATTTCACAGGCCATTTCAAACTCTTGTGGGATGTTTGTCTCCAAAAACTGGTATTCATGGCCAGTACATGTAGACTTGGCAATTCAATTGAGGAAGATTTGTTGAGATATTGCAGATACGACAGCTTGAAATCGGTCAGCCCCAATTTCCAAGGATCTCAATATCAGCAATTTTTTTGTTCAGAGTTATTTTAATGCTCAAACGTTAGCCCTGCCATTTTCCATTGAAGATGTTGCCTTGAGTGTTATTGATCAACCATTCTTATCTTTGGCTGTCAGGATTACAGTACGACCAGGCGTTCATTGACCTAAATGTAGGCATCCAGGTGCAGTTTGAGAAGGTCTCAGAAGGCTTCCAAATTGGGGTAAGTATGCTTTATCTTTAAGGTTTCAAACTGAAACATGGCATTGATCATCACTGACAGAGAAAGTGCTGGACGTGCACTCTGTTTCAGAAACTTTGCAACAAAAGTGAGCATCAGGAATGCAGGCACGCTTGCACTGATTCACCGATAAGAATCAAGAGCCCTTTGTGGGAGCACATCACCAATGGCAGGTGGTAGGAGCGTGTCACATACCTCATGTCTTCAACCCTTCACCTGCTAAATATGTTAAGTAGAGTGTATTGTATATCCTAGAGCCATTGACTCCAGTTTCTATCTTTGTGACTTGGAGTTGCATTGACTATGACTTGAAAAAAGTGGCTTGCTGCCATGTCAATCATGTCTCTTGATTGGTGTGGATTGGGGAACCTTAAATGGTTAAAATTTAATTACAGGCTGGCCATGCACCGGTAGAATTGTTCTTCCCAGATAGACTAACGGTGAAATCAGAGGTTTTTTTTTAAAGTCATCGCCGTGGTGGCAGCACACTGGCACACAGGTTATGCAGACGCCACTGGTCCATGCCCAGTCTGGCGTTATTGCATTCTAACTTTCCAAACTACATGTATACGTGTGTGCTTTCCATGTGTAGGAGTACATGTTGGAATCTGGTGCCACTGCAGCCTAATGGTGTCAGTAAATTTATTAGTGAATAAAATAGAAGATTCCTTTGCAGTTCAGGCACCTGGTGTTGCCTTTATGGGACATTTTATTGGTTGAGCGACGTTTTCCCTCCTTAGCTGAAGCTTGTGCTCCTGGCCAATGGGTTCCCTTTATTTGAGATTCCCATTTTATCTCCGACACTCATCAGAACACCGCCTTGCTCCACCCAAGCCCCAGGTAAGAATTTAGATGAGGTTGGGTTGGAAGGTCAAAGGTCATAGTTGGCTGATTGAATACTGGTAGAAAGGGTGCTTTGTTATCTATAGGAGCAATATCCTAAAGGTCAGATGTTCTACGGGTGTGTGCTTAATTGGTCATCTCACAATGTGGCGATCTAGTGGACCCGAGATCAATGTAGATGCCGATGCTGTTGGGAGAAGGGCATGGTGCCTAGTGCGTCAGCATGTTGGGAAAGCTCGACTGTTTTTCAGCAGAATGTGCACAAAACTTGTAACATCTTTGTGTGTGGATGTCAATTCTGGTATATTTCTTTATTGCTAGCTCGTGGGTACTTTGGCTCGGCAACTTTGTAGCATTTTGTATTACGTGCCCAGGGCCGTTACTTTTGGAAACTAGTTACAGGCTGGTTTTTTTTTAACCATTACGACTAAGGGATGTAGCTTTGGTGTCCAACAGAGTCCTTTTTTGTAATCATAGGCCAACAAAGCTTGCAGTGCCGACGGATGCAAGAACTTGTCATTGGACTGAACCCACCTCACGATTTTCAGTGCGTGAAGGATGATGACTGCAAGGGTTTCAGATGCACTGGAGCAATCGGCATCGGTCCTGTCGTAAGTTGTTCCAGAAAGCCAGTTGAAGAATTCTCAAATAATGTCTCTTGCGGTTTAAGGAGATGCACACTTTGGGAAGAATCACTTGCTGTGGTCATGCGATGTTGTCCATTAATTGGACTGAAGTATTGGTCTACACAGGTGCGATGTTAATGTGGAATTCAGAATTGTAATTTGGCTGTGTCCATCAGTCAGCCATGCATTACTCTAAAGTCAAATCTGGGAACAAGAAATCGCAACTTTTTTGATGAAAGACTTCTGTATTCCAACCAGGATTATTTGCCATATGCATGCAGTTGATTGCATCCATGCCTCAAGCTAAAATCTCTCTTTGTTCTTTTTTTTTCTGCCCACAAGTCTTTTGAAATCACAGCAGTATCAGTGCTAGACAGCTGCACTGAACCCATTTCATACACCATTACCATTCAAAGAAATGGCCGGGATATCTGGTCCCATCCATTCGTCCGTTCGGAGACCGTCCCTGTTGGTGAGTTTCTCAAATCTGACAATTCTGTAAGTTTGGATGCCTTTACAGGCGCTAAACAAATCACAGATTTATTCTGTCCCTTCTTGATTCACACTTCAGATAATGATTGGTGGTTACCCATTATTTTGCTCTTCCATATGGTAATATGGTTTGAGTTAGAACACAACAGTTCTTAATATGGGCATCGCTAAGAATTGATAAACAGTTAACAGTGGGAGGGTGTCAAGTTCTAGAATGATGGAGCAATTGGGTGATGTGCATCCCCTTGCATCTTTTCTATTTTGGCTTTTCTCCCCTTTTTTTCTTTTATAATTTTTTTTTTCCTCAAGATGAAATCGAGTACCTCTCTTTGCCTCACCCCCGTCCCCTTGCGATGCCCTTATTTCTTACATTCATCCTCAGTTCAGACCATGTACATTTCATATGGCCATTATTCATAGCTTTGCTTGGCAGCAAATTTAAGTCAGAATTCCAGAATTGCTAGAATGGAACAAAGAAGTCCAAGCCGATACACAAGTTGAAGAATCCCTTGGTGTTTGACATCGTCACGGTTCATGCAGGTTTTGCAGAGTTACGGAGGTTGTAACTTGGGAAGCAGACCTCAAGCGCCAGACACGGACAGGGCCTGTCCCCATGTGTAACCCAGTTGCCTCTAACAGTGGGCTCCTGGGCTGTCGTTCCTGGCAAGAAAACATTCTGTAACCCATTCATGAAATCTTCCCTCGCAAAACAGAAGGGGACGGCATTACTCTGCCTGAGGGAGTCCAAGCCAATATTACCGTCATAATGGATCCCTTCACAGAGGACATCGATTACTTCCTAACCACGGTAAGATCATTTTTCCTGTGGAGACGGCCATACCTCTGCTCTGTCTTTTCCTAATACGTTTGGGATCCAGATGCAGAAATTTTGGCCTGTGACATTGGGAAGTGGGCCTTGTTTGGGTTCTGTTTTTCTCTGCTGTGTGTCAACCTGTAATCTGACGGCCAAAATCTATGACCCCCAAGTATTTCAGCCAGGCCTGCAGCCTTGTAAAAAGAACCTAGATTGTGCGGTGTTATGTAACTTTCTTTTGTTTGTGAACCTGGCACAGTGCACTGCTGACCTCTTTTCAATAGGAGCCAGATTAACATGCTGCGGTGCTGTGTGGCTCATCGCTGCTGTGGTAGAGTGCTTTTGTCCCCGGTGGTAATCCGCTCGCACTGAATGCCCCAAACCGTGGTATACTGTTTCAAAACAAGGCTGGATTATCGCCACTATTGAGAGTGAAAAAATATTGGTAATGCCCAGCAGCCTAGTCTTTTGTTCCGAGTACCATCTTTTGTTACAAGGCCCAGTTCCCTTTGTCCGATTTCGGAGACCCCGGCCATGCGTATAATGCATACGTGTCCGTTACTGGAAACCCGGTGGCAAGTGGTTAAGACTTTGTTGCCAGCAGCATGGCAGAAACCCAGATTGTGAATCCCCAACTTACTGACAAATTGTGGATTTTGAACCATTTTGGGAGGGAAGGGCATATGTAGACTTGCATGTGCAACCACATGACAAACTTATACTCAGCGATCCAGCAATAATAATTCTAATACCTCATAGTAGCCACCAGCCAAAGTTTCATTTTTATTAATACCACATGCGAGTGTTTTAACTCACGCTTGGTCCTTTTGTTTTCCCAGATCCAACTGACAGTTCACATTCCAGGACTTCCACAGCCAGTGGTGGACACGTTCCTGAACGAATCTCGTGTTCCTATACCACCGTGTGGTAAGTGCTATTCCTAACAATTTTTATGCCTCATTAAACTTTTGAATGCCCTCTTCCGATCAACAAAACATGATGCTCATTGAGATGGCTTGATATTTTGATCCCCATGTCCAATGACTTTGACCCTCCTCTTCCCTGTTCATTCCGTCCATATCACCCTCAAATCGACTCCTTTTAATGCGACGGTGTTACTTTGTATTTTTTCTTTGATACACGGGAAAGGTAAAAAAATCACAAGTGATGTGCAAGTGATTTTTTAGAGCTTGTCAGGAAAATTGCACGAAGCTTGCACATGCCAGGAAAAAGTTTGGAACGCAGGACCTCCTGTCTGCTGGTTTGTCAAGCAGAAAAACCATCCATGCTTTTGAGCTGGACATGTGGGGCTGGGATTACTGCACAGGAATATTTGTCCAGTGCCCTAATTTAGTGTCTTGGAGTTATGCTCTCTATAGAATGGTACTCACTGTTACTACTTCATTTTCTCACTAGCTTTTCAAAAGCAGTGAGTATGCAGTGTATTTCATGACATCGTTCTGTCAAAGATAAGCCCTTAGGACAAACATTTTGGCACTTCGTGTGGAACTTCAGCTTCTGAAACCAGAATTGTAGACGAGACTTCTTCAGACCATGACAAAACCTCACAAGACCAGCACAGGGCCTCTTGTCCAAATTAATTATAACAATAATTCATTTATAAAGTGCAAATTTCATAGAGATATGTTCAAATGCGCTGTACAATGAATACATTTAAACATGGCTGAGATGATGGCATACAAGGGCGCCTCGGGCAGCCGCCAAACGACCCACATTCACCAACATCAAATGTAGAGACAGTGAGAAGCAGTTAAAGTTTTAGAGGTGGGAGGAAAACCCCAGAGGAATATTCTGGGTAAAACCCACGGAGTCAGGTAGGGACTGAAAACCCAATCCACATGTGGACCGGGCCGGGAATCGAACCCGGGGACCACAGAGGTGGAAGGTGAGGAAAGAACTACCTTGCCAACCTGACTCCCAAATTCAAGTGACAAGCTACGCAAACGAACTGTAACAAAACCATTCTTTCTTCAGGTTTGACCCTGTTACTTGTGACTGGTCCAGTGACTGTATGCCCTTGTGACGATGTTCACTAAAAGCATTGTCTGACGCTTATCTTGTGACAATGCGCGGCAACCGTTTGCGTTTGGAAATTACAAGGCCCTTGCTGGATTCCTCCATGGCAGATCACCCGATGACTCGTGGACCAACTCTCACACCCCCTGCCTCCCTGACCCCATTGCCAGGAGTGAGTGACGAGTGCACAACCTTTAGGGACATAGCCGATGACATCGACAACAATGAAGTCTTCCACGGCCGCATGAATTGCAAGGCCAACCACAATCCGTGTGACGGTTTTTCGTGCAACCTTACTTCTAGCGGTGTAAGTGTCGTTTGAACTTGGCCCGTGAAATAGTTGACTAATGATTAATGTTGTGGTGATCAATATTAATAATGCCTCCAAGTTTCTTGAATCAGGCTGTTTCTTGCTCTATGAAGTCTGTCTCTCCTCTCATTCCATCTTTAAAGGTTCGGTATTTATTCAAGACGAAAATGTTCCACTGTGAGTCTCCAGTTCGCCTCTTGCTCACCATCGACAGTGAGACATCCAAAAATTACCATGTGGCAAGAAACATAACGTGCAACGCAGTTGTTCCCATCGGTGAGATTATATTCTGGATAATTTGTATGATATTACAAGAGCTTAAAGGATTGTCCTGTCAATTAACAGTGAGTAAAATCTTTATTGGAAACGTGACACTTTGTTGACTCTATTTTGAGCCATACAGTGTGAGAGAGGGCCATGTGCAAAAATTTCCAGAGATTGTGATGCTATATTTGACTAATGAATAATCGGTTGCCGTCGGACTTGATGACTGAACAGGTGAGCAAGCCGGCATCCCTACATCACAGTTGGTAATTTCCCTGGGAATGTTTTGGCCAAACTACTAGTGTTAATAGAGACTGTAAACAAACCCTACTCCTCTTTCGTTTCAACAACGTTTCTGCCTAATGGTGTAGCCACCGAATTTGAGTTAACCGAATCCCTGTAAGATGTGCGTGGTGCTTCGTGATATCGCCCATTGTTGTAGGGTTTGCCAAATTTCAGTGTCCGGCGATTCCTGAGGCACCATTTGTTTCCACCACATTTTCCACTGAAGTGGAGAAATCGTTACCCAGTGCAGTGGTCTGGTAGATTTTCCGGCGTAATCATTTTTCTGGCTGGGAACATTCGGGCAGTGATACACATTGCAAATACAAATGCTGAATGCATAATTTTATGCCGAAATTGCAAAATCAGTATGCCGTAGATGGTCAGATAGACCGGTTTCATTTTTGGGCGGAATGGGTTTTGTTGTCCTCTTTCATGGTACACTGCTTATCAATTATTTATTGTAGAGGAACTCCTCTCTGGTGGAGAGATCAAGTTTCTAGTTATGCGACGGAGCAACCGTTCTGTTGAGCTGGCCCTAACTCTGAAGGGATACACACCCGAAGGAACCGTCGCCATCCCCCTGGTGCAAGATCGCATCGTACCCGTCAAACCTTGCAGTAAGTCAAACGGTCCACAATGTCTCTTTTGCACAGTAATAGCAAGTTTTTCCTAGGACAGAGGATTACTGTTTTGAGGTGGGGGATTACTGTTTTTAAAGCCATCATCGGTGCTGTTGTAGGTGCGGCACGTTACTACACCTGCCTTTTAACTTACCCCACAAGTTAATGCCAATAACCACATCCTGCCGGGGGCATTTATAAATATGTTATTTCTGCTGGGCCAGAGTATTTTTCATTTTTTTCTGTTTTCAAAATTCTTTCCAAATTCATATCTTCATTTACTGGGCACTTACACCCACACCAAAGACTGTCTGGTTTCTACTCTAATCTGACAGACAACATCTATGGATGCTGGAGTATTTCAGCCAGGCCTGCTGCCTTGTATAAAGAGCCCAGATTGTTCAGTGTTACGTAATTTTCTTTTGTTCCCGAAACCGGCACAGTGCGCTGCTGATGTCTTTTCAACAGGGGGCCATATTAGCCTGAAGTGGTACTGTGTGGCTTATTAGTGTGGTGGTGGAGCACTGTTGTCCCCAGTGGTATTCCGCTCGCAATGAATGCCTCAAACAGTGGTATACTGTTTAAAAAATGCTGGATTTACATTCCCACTATTGACAGTGAAAAATTGGCGTAATTCCCAGCAGTCTGGTCTTTTGCTACGAGTACTGTCTTTTGTTACAAGGCCCAGTTCCCTTTGTTCGATTCAGACACCCAGCTGTGCATATAAAGAATAAGTGCCCAAAACTGGGCTCCCCGGCAGCAAGTGGTTAACCAAAGTGGTTTCATCAACTCATTCCTTTTCCATCTTTAGCATTGGCAGTTCCATTTCCAGACAACCCTAATGAAGTCTGCAAAGCTGCCTCACCAGGTATGTATCGAAAACAGTCAGCCAAAACAAACAGAAACACCAATAATACAAAATTCAAGTTCTTCAAGTGTACGACAAGTTCAATCCTGCCCCAAAACAGTGCAGCATCATTGTCTTTGTTGTTGTAGGGAGTTTTGTTCGAAAAGAGCGTGCCATTATGCCTGTTTTTACCATCTACAATTGAAGTCACTGTTTATTTTTTCCTCTTTAACACGATGGAATCGCTAATCAGGTCCCCCCAACAATAACCCTGTCAAGCCCCCAAAAGGTGGAGGTGGCGAACCTGGCAAGTCGACCCAGCCCAACTCACAGGCCGGTAAGTCCCACACACACACATTATGGTTATAGGCTTTGTGTCAATCCAGTCTTATGTAGTTTTATTTCATCTTGTCATATTATTCTTGTGGTAAGGATAGTTGTGCAGGTGCAGATCCATGGGGGGCCAACCCTCCCCCCCCCCGAGACAAAAAAAGGAAACAATTGGGGAAAATATTACAAAACAACTAAAGTAAATGCACCAATGCCATTGTAAATGGCACGTATAATGTGTCATCATCATTTCTGCTTGTCCGCAAAAATGAGACATTGAAACAAAATCTCTGACCTGACCCCCCCTGGAAAAAGGTACGCAAAATGACACCGATTTATTGTTGGCAAGTGCTAATGATCTGTAACTACTAACAGAGAAAAAAATCAAACAACATTTATCGATAGGGTACAAGTTTGTTAGGAATTGGAAGAAGATATTGAAAAGCCGTGTGTTTTAACAACAGGCACTCATGCACTTTGACGATTGTTTGTCCACCTGCTTGCAGCAACTATTGGTGCAGTTGTGGGTGTGGTCGCCGTCGTCATGGTAGCGGCAGCCGTCGTGGCACTGGTGTGGTACCGTCGGCGATCTCACAGGCACAACGATCATATCCACCTGGTGGAGAGCTCGGATGCGGATATGTAGTACCCCGTCTCCCCACATATTGGTAAGTTGACATAAGTAACAGCGTGTCTGTGCCTTTTCTGTGGCAATGTAACTAAAAACAAAAATTAACCATGTCTTACAGCACTTTTGTAAGTAAAGTCTAAGTGAAATGCTCGCTTGAATTTCTTTGTGCAACCCAGTGAATTGCCATGTGCAGTAAATGGCAGGTTTGTTAAAATGTTAACTGGCCGTAAACTTCAAAATGTGGAAAAAAGTGAATAATCTTGTTTGTGTTTGACACATTCCAAGCTTTTCAGTATTTGCTATATAATCCTGTCAGATGTTACAGCAAAAGTAGATTGACCCCACGATTGGCAGAGTTAATAATAGGCTCTTTCAACTGTTCAAATTGGTAGATGTGGGTTTGACATCTGCATAACCTCATTTCCATTTCCTTGAGATTGGAGCAAACATTTAGAAATAAAACATTTCATAGACAAAAAAATTAGTGGGTGTAAGTTAAGCACCCCCCCAAAAGAAAAACCTAGTGACTGACAGTTATTGAGATAATTACATTTTGAAAGAAATTGATGGTTATGTGACCACTACATATCCTTGTTTTGCTTGTACAATTTTATGAAATGAAATTACAGAGGTATTGATCACTTGTTTCAGTTTGATAATATTACTTTGTTTTCAGAAGAGTTTAATTGATTTTGATTTTTGAGAAAATTCAGTGGAACGATGAATGCACTTTTCCATATCTGAAGTTTTTTGTTACTTTTTTTTCAGAAATGAACATATTTTACTGAGAAATCTTCACAGATTTTGATTTATGTTCCTCATTACAAATACAACTCCAGATTGCATTGGGAAGAGTACCAGGAGAATCAGTGCCCTGCTTGTTGGAGCCATTACATGTCTCTGGCAAGCCAGGGGAATGGAAATATACCCACCTCTCTGAAATATTCGTTGAAATATATCTCCAAGTTGAACGCATACGTTGTTTGTGCTCAACAAGTTTTTTTCGGCCTTGAGAATTGCTCTGGTTGAGTTGGGTTTGCCCGTTGACTTTTCAATACTAGGGCAGTGCTGCCACTCAGTAGGGGTCTATCTGTAATAATTGATGTAATCCTGAATTTGTTAGTGAACAAGGACTGTAGCGGGATTCTAA